ACATCTGAATCAGACATGGATGAAGGCAGGCCACCTCCTCTGGACTACGTTCAAGGGAATAATAGTCATTACACAGGAAGGAAATGTAAACATGACCCCAACTTAGTACTCGGTGCAGCACATTCTCAGGAAAGTGATAAAGGAAGTGATCATGATTACCCAGAAAAGAAACACAAGCCACTTAAGAGGACTACATTCTGTGCGTTAGGCCACTGTCATTTCTAAGGGTGGGGATAAGATGTGATACATGTGAATGTGTTGAATCTACATGGGTGAATCAAAAATTACTTTTTGTTCAATCTGCTAATGCCAATGCATGCATAGTTCTACTTCACGTTTACAATATATTCTGTATCTGCCAGTCTGGTAGGACACTTTCCTACACTTATGGCTGGCATCATTAATTTATGAATACCTTAGACAAAGCTAACAGAACTGGGAATACCAACCAGGATTCTTCATCTTCCTACTCACATTACTAGACTGCCCCTCCTCTTACTTACTGTGTCTTATTCACATACCATTTTTAATAAAACATTGTCATATTTATTAACCCCACAAATAATCAACATGTGAAAAAGATAACTATCTATTATTATTCGTTGAAGATTATTCTTTCTTGCTGTGTTTATGGGCAAAACAAACAACCTCTTGGGTGCCCAAACCAAAGAAAGCCATACATGTAGTTTGGGAATTATCAGTGAAAAGACTCATCATCTGAAAAAGCTAATTCTTCAAAACTGCAACTCATTGTCGGAACACATGAAGTTTCATGCAACTTTCTTTGGGAAAGGCATCTTGGGTTCCAGATGGACTCTGATCAAAATGAAAGCAAAACCCATCCCAGAAAGTGGCACTTAGGTGGTATGTTAGAGACTTAGGTTCAAGTCCATACTACAAAAACAAAAACAACAACAATAATACATACATACATACTATAGCTTTTCCCCGCCCACCTATACCCTTACTGCAAGTCCTCAGAACTCTTTTTATGCATGTATCTGTATTTCTATGAAATCAGAAAATGATATATTATGCTTTATAGGAATTTTCTTGTGCCAGATACTAGCATTTAGTACCACACTACCTTGCTGAACAACCTGCAAGCCAGAGTTGCCTAAGACCCTAAACCAGTGATTCTGAATCAGGGTGCCTTAAGACCTTTTCAAGGATGTCACAAGGTGCCACACTGTTAGATTTACAAACATGATTCACCAGATAAATCCAGAGATTTTAAATAGAAATGCATAGCTGGTCTTTCTGAGTTTTTTTGCAACAGAAAAACTGCACTGTTCATTTTTTTTTGCTTATGGAAAAAAACAAACACTAAGAGCTGACACTTTCCAAGGGATGAAATATACCCAGGGGTGCCTTGAGTCTAAAAAGGTTGAGAAGCACTGCCTTAAACAGATTAATTAATAGTAACTTCTTTAAACACCATTCTCCATACTCCTTAGAAAGAAAGACTATTCAAATGTGTACAAGCACCCCTAAAATTCATAGTGACCACTGGGTAGTATGTTCTGGTAAATTTCTCCAAGCCATCTTTACTAGGATGTGCTCCCCTACCTGAAATGTAGTGCACATGACTTACTGAAGCTACAGTTTGCTCCAGCTGGGAATCTGCCACATGTCAGACTATGCATTAGAGCATAAACATTTTGGAAAGTCTCCTATACATTCTATGGTATATACACTGAACAGTAACCTACAGCATGGCAGCAAGGTAAGCAAATGATTTGGGGAAAAGCAGAATGGAAATGACTTTTCATACATGTAAGTCCACCTTGCATACGACTGCATCTGAGGGATTCTTACTTAACATAGAAGCTTTCTGGGACAAGTTAAGTCCCTGTAATCAGTATGCATTCCAGCTGAAAACTATTGTAAAATCTTTTCGCACAGAACCTGATCTAAATCTCTTCACTCTTTACAAAAGGAACTCCCACATTTTTCATTCACCCTCTCTGTCCTTCAAATTACAATAGGTTACTACAGACAGGCTTCTAAATCTATCTAAATCTCCTGAACATTTGAAAAACATTGTCTTGTAGGGTAAAATTAGTTTTATGGTGTTTCTTCATGCAGAACACGGGGTAGAAACTCATATATATCTTGTATAATTTTTCCTCATCCTGTAAATTTACATAAAATAATTGCAGACCCTCTGCACAGTCCCTGAAGGTCTAGCAAAAAAAGCTAACACTGACCTTAGCATACAAATTCTGTTGGCAGTGAATACATTTCCTAAATGGGGACCTCTCGTGTCATCCTGTTGCTTCACATTTGGCACATCTAAACAGATCTGAGCATGAGAGTCTCACACTTCTATGTGCATAGTCTGTGTCACTGGTCCTCACATCAGACCCCAACAAAACGAGACATGGAAGTGAAGAACTCAACAGAAAGAAGGGAGATAGAATCAGACCAAGAGAGAACAAATGTTTACAATATAAAATTGTAAGAGGTACAGAGCACCTGTAATTACCCTTTAGCAACTACAGGAACTGCAGACACTAGCTGTCTCACAGTATAAAAATGATTTTAGGGTTTGGGGAGAGTCAGATAATTACTCATTTATAAAGAAGGCTCTCCATCTTTCCTTATAACCCTCATTCATGGAACAAATCTAATGCGCAATGGCATATATATGATGCAGCTGGGATTTTGCAAAGCTAAAAGGGGCTTATTCAATGGACAGCATGGGGACTCGTTAAGGCAAACGGGAACTTTAACATAGGTAAAGGCTTTGGGGGCTTACATATCACTTTGCTGTAGTTATCTGACCACTTAGAAGAGAATAAGATCCTGCATAGGAGCATTACTCACTTCAAGTTAGTATGAGTGAAGAAGATTCACTCATGGCTGATCTTACGCAAAATACTGAAATTAGACCAAAATAGTTGCCGCCTTCCTGCATTCTCAGAAGTAAAACAAAAGGGTGGAGAAACACATTCAAACAGTCTCTTACATTCTTACCCTTTGTTCTTTCCTACATGTTATATTTACTTTCTTGAAGCAGATACATGCACACATTTTAAAATGAAAAGTTTTGCACAAAGTAATTCAATAAATGTAGACAAAAGCACTACTTACGAACTAAACAAAGAAAATAAAAAAAGAGGGGTAGAGGTTCTCCACTGCACCACAAAACATCCAAAGAGCCCAAATAGGTGATGACCAGATCATAGACAACTTTTTGGGGAAGGAAAAAGAAAAAAATTAAGCTCCTTGCATGTTTTTAATGGGAGCAAATTAACAGTTTGCAGTTGTTTCTGCTCTTTTTGAACTTGTGCATTCCTCAGTGGTAAGCAAAGAATACTTAGCAATTCACACTTAGGAAATGAATATTTTTGTGATTAGGAAAACGTAGCATCTGCATATTTGGCATATACGTTCACCACATTCTCCACAATAAATTAAACAAACATACATACACATACAGAAGACAGCCTTTGGCTGAACTACATTTCAGAGTAAAAAAATAACTAATCTAATTAATGAACAGAAGACATCTACACAACTAAAGTGCTTGCTTTACACCGAGACTCTTATGAATGGACCACCAGTGCTTAGAGAAGCCAGCCCATGACAAATTTGGCCAGAAAAAAAAGTGACAACTACATTCACTGAAGTAACTGTCAACCCTTCATTTCCACCCAGGAGAACTTTTACAATCTTTTTTCTCTGATGCCTGAAGAAGGATGTTTGTCCCTGAAACCTTGCAATTAAAGATATTTTTTCTTTTGCAAAAATCTAGTTGGTCTAATAAAAGATATCATCTCTACCACGAGTCCCAATTGCTTTTTCCTCTAGAGCAATGCAGCTACAACCTGGATTCCTGGTCCCAAGAAAGTCAATGCAAGTTTTGCCATTACCATGAATGGATGCAGAACTAGACCCTCTGCCAAACCTATCAACCCAAAACCAATTTTTACAAACCAACAGAGATTCTAGAAAGGCGATTATTCCCTTGGCAAGGGAAGTGTGTCAGGACAGTCTCACTCTCCTCCAGCCAGAAATAAAGAGGATAATATTTCATTGTCTTAGACAAAGGCAATATAAACAGCCCTTAATACACTAGATAAGGCCACAAACGTTAGTCCAGGGGTGGGCAATTATTTTGGGCAGAGGGCCGCTGACTGAGTTGTGGCAAGCCATCGAGGGCTGCATGACAGGCAGCCCAGGGCAGATTAATATTAATTTTCTAAATTTTTTTTAGGGGCCCCCGGGCTGCATTTTGCCCACCCCTGCGTTAGTCTGATGTGGTTTTAAATGCAATCCTGTGCTGGTCTCCCCCCTGTACCCACATGCACACAAACTCAGAGTGGAGTTGAAAGTGTAACTCTGTGTATAGAGTTGCTTAGTATTCATTTACACAGTTATATGAGCAGATAATTATACTGAGCATCGGAAAACCTGTCTGAAGCAAGTACTGGACCAAAGTCAATACAGCAAAAGAGATGCCAGGGGGCTGGAAGTCGGGCACAGTTGCAATAGAGGCTGTCAAGAGGCATCCGAGGAAGGGCCAAGGGGGATCTCCAGGGCAAGCCAGGCATCTAGAGACCCTCTAGAGAGCGGGGCTGCTCCCCCAGGGCGAAGTGCTGCGAACTAAGTAAGTGGCCATGATTCAAGAAGCAGGTTGCAAGGGAAGGTGGCTGGGGGAGGAGGAGAGCTGGCAGAGGGAGAGGAGAGAAGGGGAGGGGGGGACACAGGAACTCCTCTCACGTGGTGGCAGCACCCAGCACGTGCGAGCAGGAGCCGGGCTTGCGCGGGGCCGGGGCAGACCCCCCGGCTCTCCCGCCTGCCCGGGGCCGCAGGAGGCCGCGGCGCTGCCCGGGAGCGGGAGCGGGGCACCGCGTCCCGCACATTGAGGGCTCCGAGCAGGACGCGGCAGAGCAAGGTCCCCAAGTCCAAGTCCACTTGCTGCTGCCCCCCGGCCCCAGGGGAGCAGCAGGTGAGCTCCGGGCAGGGGTGAGGGGGGGGAGCATCCCACTTACCGGCTTTACAAGGGTCCTTGTAATCGATCCCCTCGGCGGGGTCCTCCTCGCTCAGCCCGTACGGGTAGTCGTAGTCGGGGGGCAGCTCCCGGGCGCACGCCGTCCAGCCGGCCAGCCACAGGGCCACCCGCCAGCCCAGCATGTTGATGCTCCGCGGGGCGCGGGGATGCGGCGGGGCTCCTCCGGCCCCGGGAGGTAGCCGCGCTCCGCGGGGTGGCACCGGGGGAGGGCGGCTGCCTCCCCCCCCT